CAAAGAATGAACAACTGGAACCTCATCTTATTAAAAGACTTTTGCACATCAAAAGAAATCACCAACAGAATGAAAAGGCAACCCAAAGACTGGGAAAAAATTTTAGCCCCTTACCCCTCAAACAAAAGACTTCTATCTCAAACAAATAGAGAGTTGAAAAAACTCTGACCCCCCAACTCAAAGACCTAATCCAAATATTAGCATCTGAGATGAATACAACACTTTTCAGATGAAGAAATACAATGACAAATAAATATATGAAAAAATGTTCCACACCATTAGTCATTCAAGAGATGCAAATTAAAAGAACACCGAGATTCTATCTCACTCCAGCAAGAATAGCTTTTGTCAAGAAATCAACTAATAACAAATGCTGGAGGGCTGTGGTTAAAAAGATACCCTTTTCCACTGTTGGTGAGAGAGTAGACTACTGTGCAACTACTGTGGAAATCAATGTAGAGATTCTTAAAAAACAAACAAACAAACAAACAAAACCTAGGATTAGAGGTCCCATTTGACCCAGCTATTCCCCTTCTGGCTGTCTTCCCAGAAGAATTAAAAACATCATACCACAATGATATATGTGCACAAATGTTTATTGCAGCATAATGTGTAAATAGCTAAATCACAAAAATAATGCAAATGCTCATCAACCAACGAGTGGATAAAAAAGATGTGATATTTCTATACAATGGAGTACTATTCAGTCATAAAGGATAAACTTGAGACTTTTACAATTAAATGGATATATCTGGAGATCTTATTCATAAGTGAAATGAAACAGACTCACATGTGTGAACATCATATTGTCTTCCGGTATGAGAAACTCAAACAGTGAATGAAATCTAAAAAATACAATAGATGTGAAATAGACAGAAATTGTTAAAAAGGAAAAAGGAACAAGGATGGGGAAAAGAGTAAAGGAAAAAGGGAAAAAAGAAAAAAATGCAAGTTAATTATGTTATTATTGTCTCTTAGTTCATAGAAAAGGAAAGTTCATGCTAATATCAATAAAAGAACTTTTTATGCTCATATTTTGTACTCCAGTTGACTACTTTAAAGATAATATTGAATGTATTTATTGTTATTCTCCTATCATTTTGTTATAAAATTTTCTTTTACCTTTTTACTATAAAATAAAAAAAATAAACCCAGTTCTTTCACTCTCTCTCAAGTCCAAACGATGAAAGAAAACTCCACAACTTTCTGGGAGTGATAGGGTTCTTCAGGATCTAGATTCTTGGGTTTGCAGAAAAAGCTAAGCCTCTCTCCTTACAGAACCAGAAAGTCAGCCCCTAAAGTGAGAAGTACAGTAAAAGTCAGCCTTCAAAGACATCAACTGGCTATTCATTAGCACCCTGGCCCTGGGATTGAATTCAATCTCTTCGTTTACGGAAAGGACCATATTGTCTTGGAGATCCTGACTCAAACCACGGGACCCTTGTAGAGACCAGCGGTCTGTTTATCTAAACAGCTAGACACAGTGGTCAGGGCTTTCTGTTGTACTTGCTCTACCCACCACTGTTAAAGTTACAGGAGTCACCCAGTGGATTCATCATACGATTCAAGAAGGCCTACCCCAAGGACCTACCAGCTTGGATTGCTTGTCCAGGTCCCCAGATCCACTCAAGACTCATCTCCAACAGGATCACCAGAGGCCCAGTTCCCAAGACATCCTGCTCTGGTCATTCCACATAATGACCAGTCCAGGCATAGCTGAAGCTTAAGAACACTGTTGAAGGTACTCTCCATAATCAAATGCTTTGCTAGCCCTGAATTTCAAGTCCCTTTGGACTGCTTACTCTAGCCTTCACTATTGGGCTAGCCACTCTAAAGAGTGGACCCTCCCCATAGAGTTCTGTTAGCTTTCACTTTTGTTACCATTGTAATGTGTTTTATTTGCCTAAATTGTTTCTTGTAAGACAAATTTTGTAATTTCTGTACAGGCCATGTAGATGCCTGCCTCCAACTAACTGATGCTATTACTAGTCCCTCTAATACTGATCTTAACCTAGCAAACCCAGACCCCCTTCCCTTCTATCTGTCTACAATCTGTCTACAAACCCTTCTATCTGTCTACAAACCCATTCTCTGTTGAGTCAGGTATTCCCTGAGCTTGCCAAAAACTTTTGGCTCTGTATGTCAACCTCCCACTAATGCAACCTTGGTACCACTTCAGATCTGGGTGCTCTCCAACTCCTGGTTGCTACCACTCCTTTCAACTAAGGTGATCCCCAACCTCATAAATGCATTTTATAAAGAAACTAGAGCTGCCACCCAAAATTCTATACTTGGGCCTGATACCACTCGGGTTGAACTTAATCTCTGAGTTCCCATTGGCCTGACTCCTCTGATGTTCAACTCTATCAAAATCTCACTTTGGGACACTTCTTCCTTCTGACCACAACTACACTCTGAATTTACATCTTCCCAGAGAATATCTAAAAATAATAAGCTCAGATAAATGACTAAAACTCCTCACTAGCCTCCCCAGAGCAGATACCTCTAAATTGCTCAATGTATGATCGGATTACTGTTTGAGCTGAGAACACCCTTACATAGGAGACTTCATCTGGGGACCCCTTCTACCTGACTCCTCTTCCCTAATTCATGTGGTTCAAATGAGTGGCTACTCATTGATACTAACAGGTTTCTCCTACTCTAGGAAAGCAAGACCAAAGGGACCATCCAGCCAAAATGCACCAGACAAGTCCCCCCATCACCAGAGCAGCCCTAGCCTTTACCATCACCACACTGAAAGAACAACAGAAAAGAAAAAATCAGTTACAGTAGACACCTGCTTCTCCTGCGATATTCCTGAATCTGTGGTAAAAAACATTCATCTCTGTCTCCTGCAAAATTGGATTGGAATGTGTACTTTTGCCTATCTCACCCCAAAACAGACATAGCTCCTGGGAACACAGACTTTCTTGTTAATCTCACACTCGATACTAGAAACAAATGAGGCACTCACTTAATTCCCCACCTGATTAGAATGGGCTTCTCTGGAGGACTTGTGGGAGGAATAACCAATTTAATTATGCATGTCTTAACATTTTAAAACTATCCAAAGAAACAACTGGTAGCCGAGAATCCATCTCTAACTCACTAGCTGACCTATAAAAAGAAGTAGATTTTCTAGCAACAGTTGTCCTCCAAAACCACCAAGCAGTAACTGCAGAAAAGGTGGTATCTGTGTTTTCCTAGAAGAGTTTTGTTTTTACGTTAATAGATCAGGAGTTTGCCAGGCATGGTGGTGCACTCCTGTAATCCCAGCTCTCAGGAGGCTGAGACAGGATTGCTGTGAGTTTGCCAGCCTGGATTACGAAGCGAATTGAACTACATAGTGAAACCCTACCCCAAGAAGACAAAAACAAAAACAAAACAAACAAAGAAAGATCAAGAGTTGTCTGTCAGGCTATACAAAGCCTCCGTGACCACGCTACAAGGCTCCAAGAACCATACCAATCTAAAGATTGGTGGGGAAGCTTCTCCTGGAGCAACTGGACCCAATGGCTCTGTCATCTTCAGGCCATTAATATTTATTTTTCTCCTCTTGCTGTTTGGGTCTTTCCTGTTTCAATCTTTAACAGACTTTCTCTGAGATAGAGTTTGAGTGCTGACCCAACAGTCAGTTCATCAGCTACTGGCAAAGATCCACATGGATTACAGTCCAGTGGCCACTAGTGATGTCCTATGGGGCTGCACTTAAAAGGCAACAAAGTAGGAAATGAGACAGGAAAGTGGTCCACTTTGAGACTCAGTTCCCATGTCCTTTGCTTTGTTGGATCACAATGGTTTCTGCCCTCAGATGAGCACACTCTTCATCCCTCGCCCCTCCCCATGGATTACATTTTTATGTGATAATGAAGTGATTTCACAACTCCGTTACTTGATTCCTCCTTCCCTCTCCTATATGAGACTTCACAACCTAACCCTTCAGCCTTCTCTTCCTCCTTTGTCTGGTTTGACTCCTTAGCTGACCAAAGTTGTAAACCTGTTACCTTCAAGTAACTGTCTTTGTTTAGCGCAGTCTTTTTCCACCTTAAAATCTATGAGACTTTCTGTAACTCTGTCCCTGGCACTCAGAGTTTGGCGATGAGCTCCTCTGAGCCTGGATAGCCAATAGTGGATCTGGTTTTCTCCACCTCTTCAAGTGCCCTCTTGGTTTCCTGAGCCACTTGAAGATTTTGTTATCTTGTTTGCCACCACAGTTGGATTAAGCTTTCGTCTTTGCAATATCTCAAAATGAGAATTAGATTTCAACATATGAAACCTTGAGGAATAAACTGTATTCAAACCATAGCAATCATCATTTGATTTACACAGGTGTATGGGGGAGAAAAGAAGAATCACACTAAAATCCTTAGTGCTTACAGTAGAATGTGTTTATTATGTCTATTTTTCCTCCTCTTCCTCCTGCCCCTCCCCCAGTGTTTAATAATATGCTTATATTGAGGTGGGCTAGGAAAAATAAGTGAGGTAGAAAGGAGACAAAAACTGATTTTTAATTTAAAAACAGCAGATTCAAGACACAAACCTTGTCAGAAAATTCCTAAAGTCCTTCAATATACAATAAGCTTGAGCCCTTTCTTTTACTTGTATATCAATCACTTCTCAGCTGATTAGACCAATTCTTTTCACGGACTTTTCCACATGAGTGGGATATAGCCCTGTCACCGTGGTGATTGTCACATTTGAATGGGCCATCACCTTTCCCTTGCAGAAAGCTGTCACATTCCATGGTAAATTGGATCTCCTCTTTCATAGATTCATAGATTTCATAGATTCATAGATTCATAGATTTCATAGATTCATAGATTCATAGATTCATAGATTTCATAGATTCAGACTTCCACTCTCAAGTCCCCCCACAAATAAACCTAGCATGGGACCATAAGAATGCTTCTCTGGCTTTTAAAGGCCCACATTCTTTCCTTGAATATCTACTCCTAAAATTCTACCTAATAAATCTCTTTATGCATATTACTAATTCACACCTAATAATTCTTTTTCTGTGGTGGAAATCAGTGAACCTGTTCCATGGGTGGGATGTCAAGATCCTCCATCTTTGCTTTGGGGACCTCCTCAGACAGTCTGGTGACACTGAAAAGAAAAAAAAAATCACTTAAAAGTATATCTTACAAAGTATTCATCAGTAGTTACTCCTGTTAATTAAATTCATGAAGTCATTGTTGGATGATCTTCCTGCATTAAGGCCCAGCAGAGTAGATCAGAATGGAACCAATCAGTGTAAATTACCAATCAAATTAAACTTTAAAAGGACACAGTTTTCTAAAAAAAAAAAAAATTACTTTGGAGAGCCACAGAGGCCAATCAGAATGGGCCTACTACTTCATCTGAACTGGCAAAAGAAAATTTCCCCTTTTAAAACTGTAAGGAAGGAAATCTTGAAATTAATATATACGTAATTTAGGACCTCTAAATAATCTAAATAATATAAGGGAAATATTATAATTCCCAACTTGCTAGGTGTCCAATATGCCAAGTTCATGTCCTCCAAAACTGAAGAATGAATTCTAAGGAATAACAGAGGTTAACAGCAGGAAATATTTATTAGGGAAAAGAAAGCTTCTGTCTAAGAGAGACAGAAAGGAGATCCTGAGTGGGGGGCAGAGGACCCTGTTTCTCATAGGAGGTTTTAACCACATGGTGGATACAAAATCACAAGGTGGATATAAGATGGAACAAAACTATGGTCAACTAGTAAGTCTTACAAGTATAGATGCTTGGATAATATTGACCCAGTGGGGAAGTAAGTCATGTAGCAAGTATGTACGGAAAGAACAAGGCTTTTTCTGGAGGGAATCAGTCAGGGACTCTTCCTGGACAGCCACCCAGGTGATTGATGCCTACTTAGAATACCAGTCATTAGTATTTATCCCTAGTGGAAGTATGTAGATGTATGGTGGAACTTTGGCTTACAAACTCAATTCATTTGTGAAAGCTGGTTGTAGCTCAAGTTGGCTGTAAGTCAAGACATTTTCCTACAAAAAAACTGGAAATAGCAATAATGTGCTCCAGACCTCCCAAAGCACCTCTTAACTAACCATTTAATAATCAAAGAGTTATGTAATGTGCATTATTTACCTGAAGCACCAATAATTTTCCTATTGTGTTCACCAAAATGTTTTTAAATGTATCTAGTTCACCAGAAAAAACAATTTCATACTTTTAAAGTAGATATTTTAGGCTTTTAGGAAGGTAGAATGAAATGGAAGGTGGTTATTGTTTGAAAGGAGGGTCCCCTTCCATGAGAACATCAACAAGCTGGCTCTCCGATGTCCTTTCTGTCCTTGAGAGAGGCTGCAGCCTACTAAGACCTGCTTCTGGCTCAGTAGCTCTCAGCATTTTCAGAACTAATAACTGCTCTAAGGTTTTCTGTTTCTGTTTTTTCTTTAACACTACTATGCAGTATGATGTGACACAGTGGTTAAGTGACTGAATGCAACAATTGACTGTCTCTGTGTGGGTGAGTCTTCTCTGTAAATGTTTGTAGTTTTGTCCATTTTTCAGGATTTCCTTGATGTCAGAAGAAGAATTTCACTGCACTGATTGTTGATTCTCACCTTTCTCTCCAGCTGTTGCTCAACCACAAGTTGCTGAAGTCGCTCTTTAGCCAATTTTTCTTCCAAATCCTTTGGGTGGGCAGGAGCACTGTTCATGATGAAAAGAGCTTTGAGTAGTAAACTCTCAGATATTTCTCTAACAATAAGACAGAGAGACTTCCTTGTCCACTCAAGTAAAATTACACGCTCTACCCAGGCTTTTGTGTTAGACCTCTGCATGATCCCTAGAAATTTGACTCTGTGTTTTCAGAGTGATAAACCAAGAGAGGCTTTATCTTGAGATCACCACTTGCATTGGCACATAGCAGGAAGCTTAGCCTTCCTCACAAGCTTGTGATCTGTCACTTCCTTCTCTTCCTGGGTGTGTATTCTCCTGGCATTTTCCTCTAGAAAAGATCAGTTTTGTCACAGTTAAAAACCTGACGAGAGCAAAGCCATTTCTCTATGTCACTGTCTCGAGTGGTGTATATAATTTTCAACGGCCTTTTTATCAGCACTGACTGCTTCACCATACATTGTTAGGCTATGAGCCCTAGTTCTCAATTTAAAGTTCTTAATTTACTGGCATTAAATGTTTCACCATTATCACTGGTTGATGCATTATCATTTATGAGATCTGCATTGATAGCTCTAGCTTTTTCACAAATTAAAGACTCAGAAAGACTATAGCATACCATCTACCTTTCATTTATCCATGCTAATAATAGCCTTTCTATCTCATATAACACTGTTGATCACAATTTACTAATTTGAGTAACACTTTTAACAATATTAACTTTCTTGCACAAATCTTTTCTCTGTAAAATTGTTAAGATGGTGGATTTTGACATGCTGTAAATATTAGTGAGATCAGTTACACAAATGACAGTCTCATATTTCTCTACCATTTCCTCCTTCTGTTCAATTGTGATCGCTTTCTTTGCCTTCTCATTCTTGCTTAGCTTCTTTTAGAGTTGTTTGGGGTCATTTTGATAGCAGTAATCATAGCAATTATGTAAAGCATTGACTAAAATCATGTCCACTAACACTCATATTTCAGCTCAGACTCATACTTATGCATATTTACATTTGCTTTTCTGGCAGTAAGAGTCTTTGTTTACAACTGTACAAATAGCCAGCATTCAGGTCAGAACCCTAGACTTTGGTTATAAATTTATGATAAGATTATGTTCATATGGGAGGCCAGTTGTATCTCAAGGATCCACTATAGCCATTTTGTCTTTGTCTTGAGGTGTGTCCACCAATGAATGTGCCTCTACCCACAATTGCAATGTATTCTCATCATTTGCACTGGCTCCTTTGAGGGGCTAGCCCTGTCTTAATATACCCTGGGTTCATGTTCTCTGAAGAATGAATTCTAAGGAACACTGATGATTAAGTGTAGGAAAATTTACTGGAGAAAAGGAATGGAAAATAAATATGAGGGAATGGGGACCAGAATAACTCCTGAGACAGGAGGAGTCTCAAATGGGTTGCCAAAGAGCTCACCTGTCAAAGGAAGTTTTATAGAGCAAAATCATGAGATGAGTATAACATGGGTCAGAATTGTGATTTACTGAAAAGACTGTAAGTTTAGCCACTTACATAATATTGATCTAACAGTAGCAAGGGTACAGATACAGGGGAAACACCCAACGTACTAAATGTCCAGTTGAGCTAGTGTTCTTTAAAATCAAAGAATGAATCTTAGGAACAATGAAGGTTAAAAGCAGAATACATTTATTGAGAGAAAGAAAGCTTCTGTTGAGATAGAGACAGAAATGATTCTGTGTGGGCTGCCAAAGGCTCTGTCTTTTCTAGGGAAGTTTATAGAGCAAAACTACAAGGTGAAGTGGGTCCAAGATGGCGAAAAATGGGAACTCTCAAGTAGGCATGAGGTGAGATAGAATTATGGTCAACCAATAAGATTACGAGTATAATTGCTCAGGTAAAACTGATTACATCAGGATCCAATAGAGAAAAGAGTCACACAGCAAGTGGGAACAGGGCCTTTGCCTATAGAGGGTTGGATTAGTGAATTCTTTTGGCTTTTCAAAGCAATGAATATCTACTTAGAATATCAATCGCTGATATTTATCCTTAAGATGTGGCTGCATTTGTATTGTCTTATTTCTTGAGATCTGGCCCACAACAGGAGGTGCTTGCAGGGTATCTATCTGGTCTTCTGCACTGGGTCCTTTGAGGGCCTAGTCTTGATAGCCTACAATATTCTATCTAATTTAGCTGCCTATAATAGTACATGGGTCACATCACTAACCTTGGTTGATAATCTGTAGTCTTAGTCTTGTGTTTAGTTTTAGTAGCCTTGGTTTTAGTCTTAGTCTTTCAATCTTACTCATAGGTGGGAGAGGATTGCCCTTCCCTAAAGAGATAATGAAAAAATATCCAAAAGGTGACAGCAATAATCCCAAACCTCAGTTCATTCCTGAAGGAAGTATGTAAAACTAGCACTTGTGACCTTAATCTTAAAATGTACCTTCAGTCACAGTCCTTGTTGACTGTCATCTTTTGCACTGACTCCCTCGAGAGCCCAGCCCTGTCTAACTGCCAACTGTATTTCTACCTAATTTAGCTGTCTTTAATAGTCTGACTGCTTATAATATTTTAACTAACTTAGCTGTCTATAATAAAATGACCAATCCACTTTTTCTCCCTGCATCTTGTGACGTCCTACCTTTCTGCCTATAAATCCGACTCTGTCAGCTTGGCTCAGGGAATATCCCCTCTGTTTTCTAGATGAGATGATGCCTGATACTAGAACTGAAAAAAACCACATTTTTTCTTTTCCTGAAGTACTAGAGATGAAATCCAGGGCCTTCCTACTGAGTTATCTCCACAAGCATTTTTTTGTCTTGTTTCATTTTGAATTTTGAGACAGAATCTTTCTAAATCAGTAAATCACCCAGGTTTGGCTTGAATTTGAGATTTTCCCTGCCTCAGGCCCACAGAGCACTGGGATTAGTCACGTGTCTCCACACCTGGTTTAGATATTTACATTTGTTGTAATTTTGTCTTTTTATTGTAGATAGCTAAATTGTTTAGAAACATAATAGGTAGTCACACAGTTATTTAGAAATATTATAGGCAATCAGACAGTCCAGGACCCCAGAGAGCCAATGCAGAAGATAAAAACATATTACAGCTGTGGCTGGAGAAGCACTTATTGAAGGAAGGTCAGGCTTCAAGACAAAGAGAAATGACTAAACCCACATACATTCCACGGGAACTAACAGCAGTGCCTGATATTCTAAATAGGCATCAGTCACCTCAGATGGAGGACCAGAACTTCCCTAGCCCATTTCTTCCCTGAAAATTCTTGTTCATTCCATGTATTCTTGTCACATGACTGGTATCCCCATTTGGTCCCCATTTAATCACTATTATCTAAGTGACTATACTCATAATCTCACTGGTTGACCATAATTTTGAGCCAGTTAATACTCACCATGTGATTTCCCATTGGGTCAATATTATCTAAGCAACTATACTTATAATCTAATCAGTTGACTGTTTTGT